AAAGACAGCTATTGTAAGAAAGTTCTTTTGGAAAAAGGAAACACCATGTACATATATTATACAGTATCGTAAATGAAAAAAATATTTACATTTGTAAATTCTTATTCAAATCTTCACACTGGCTAGTATTCGTATATTAATATGGATTGTTATTGCTGCTTTACTGTCAATTATTTCGCAAAATGATTCTTCTCTAGAAAACAAGATGTTGTTAAAGAGCTTTTTTCATTTGTGTGGGAGAGTGAAAAGCCAGCGTCGATACTGCCTCCCTCCTTTTGTAGAAAACCATGAGTAAAAGTGAACTACACGTAGGCTATTGACTCCTTTGAGTGTAAAAACAACTACAAAATGTACCAATTTGAGTCTGCCAAAGTTGCAGACAGTGTCGTTCAACAGTAATGTTTGATAAGAAACGGGCTTCGACATAATGCCCCTGTATTACCCCCGACATGTTCACCTCAGGTCAAGTCAACAAACTGGGAATAAACAGTTAAATCTTTATATAAAACCCAAAGTGATAATTCACCGAAGCAAGTGGCTTTTCAAGATCTTCTATAAAAATTGTTTGAACATGCATATCATTGATTTCAAATGAAGAAAAAGCGGTCATTCAGAAAACAAAGCCCTAAACATCGAGCATTTATTCAATTGATCTCTGTGCTGAAAGAAAAGCAGTTTGTAAACAGGTTGGTTTTAGGAATACTGATAAAAAAAAGACCTGCTGAGTGAGGAAAGGGCTTTTAATTTGAAACCTGTGAACAGGAAGCTGATGAGAGGCCCCGCCTAAACAGCTTCATCAGTTTTCCTAACCTGGAAACCTTTCGCCTGCGTCCAGGCACTTGAGGTTGTCCAGCATTATGTTTGTTTTTTCCTCCATTTTTCACAAGTGTGAAGTTTTTTCTTAAGAACAACATATGTTTTCTTGCTTTTTGTAAGTTCCTCTTCTAAATAAGACAAATTTCTTTATATTGCATAACACAATAAAACCCTTACATGTACAGTATCAATGCCCAATAACTGACTATATGTATGGCAACGTTCTCAAATTTCATGCATAACGAAAATATGAGTTGTCTATTGAAAAGCGTGAACATAAGAGACAAGCGATAAAATATCTCCATGTTTAAAACATCAAGAACCAAAGGAAAATTAGCAGTAACACAATGTACATTCTGACTGCACTGTACCCACTGTGAGATGGCAGTCACAGCCTCTGACTGAAAGCAGATTTCATCTTTGAGCATGATTTTTTTTTTTGTTCGAGCTCATTTAGCAATTCACCTTTATGACATACAAAGTTGCCTCAAACTCGCTTTAAGTGGTAATTACATTACAAAAACAGGAGAATGCGGTGCCCAAAGCTTTCTAACAATCCCACACTGCATCAGCAAGCAACAGGTACGGCCTTTTTTACTTTCCATTTATTTACAATACTTAAGAAAACAAAGCAACATATTTATTGAAGATGCATATAACCAACAAAATGCTTACTGGACTTATATGAAAGCAGTCATGTATAAGCTGATGTTTTCAAAGTAAGATCGAAGACAATAGTGGGAGTACAATGCATTATAACAGTATTTTGTTATGACAAAGTGCGATTCATTACTGTAAAGTAAAAAAAAAAACATTTATATTTACATACCTTAATTTAATTAAAATGAACATTTTGTGGTTCTTGTCAAAGGAGACCCATTCAGCCCACTATGACTTCACAGAAGATGGTTCTAATGTCAACTGGAGTAAAAACATCACTCACATCTGGAATATTTTATCTTCAGAAGATAAAGACTTCTAGGTTTTGACCCAAATGTTTTAAAACACACATAGCTAGGAGAAATGAATGATTTTCGTAAAACAGCAACAGGAGGGAAGAAGGTGGGTTGCTTGCATTTCAGTTGTGATGCTTTTCCCCTAAGTGGACTGAGATGGCTTCCTGAAAAACCGACAAAACCACGGTGGCACTGTGGAAGGTTCATTTGTTCATCTTCTGATTTATTCATCTTTTATATTTGCAAACTCCAATAGCACAGAGAAACAAAGAAACTGTTTTTATTACATATCGCCATGTAGTCTCTTAAATAGCTTATAATGTCTTCAATATCCTCTGTGTTCGTTGTGGCGAGGGACGGTGGTGGAGACCTGTGAGCCCCGCCCCCTGGTGGCACCACTGCAGCACCTCTCAGCGGCTGGGGAACTCCAATGTAATGCGATCACCTTTTAACATTTATTGTCACAGGTGTCTTTCCACAAGTCACACCTCATTTTCTTGACAGGAAAAATACAGGCACACACTTTTTGTGCTATACATGTTTTTCTTTCCTTCTGGTGACGCAGTTTTCAGTTCTGCGAGTGCGGCAGATGCGAGTCAGTGCTTCATTTAGAAATGTGTGCTTCCCTGTGGCAGCACTGTACTTTGCCGTTTTCAGTCATTCTCTTGGCTTCTGATGGACACTGTTCTTCATTTCTTCTCTCTGTCAGAGTGAGAAAGTTTTTTATTTATGTTATGGACGGCGAGCATGATGGGCAGTGGTGCGGTTTGGCTGCCCAGGACTCCTGGGTGTGTTTACAGTCTGAGTTGGGCAGATGATGTTGGGGATCACATGGCGACCGGGGATGGGGAGGGGTGGGGGGATGGTTGGTTGGGCGGTGAGATTGGGTGCCGGGTTAGTTGTCAATTTGCATGTCCTTGGGCATCCCGTCCTTGTCGCTGTTGGGTTTGGACCACAGTTGCTGCTGTAGCTCCTTCACCACCCTCTCCAGGTGCTCCCTGGCCTCCCGCTCCTGCAGCAGGTCAGCTCGGAGCTGCTCGCGGTCAGCCTCAGCGTGCTGCAGGTTCATCTGGAGGTCCTCAATCTAGAATACACATGGCAGGAAACAGCTGAAACACCACAGCAGAGCAGATCCAGGATGGTTTGGAACCACCAGGTCAGAGAACAATTTCATTCATACTCCTGTTTCTACCCTATAGGGTCTACTCCTACAAAATGGTTTAAAAGAGCTCCACCTCAACCAACAGCAGCAGTCAAATCCTGCCTTTACATCAATGCATGAGTGATAATAATCAAATGTCATTATAATAGTATAACAGTCATGGGGGACATTATTGTGCATTGAGTACTTCTACTTTCACTTAACATTTTCAATGCAGGATTTGTACAAAGTACTTATGTTGTATTAGTACTTTACTTAAGGATGTGAATACTCCCTCCATGATAACATGCAAAAAAATATGTATATAAATTAAAGAAAAAGAAAAAAAAACTTTACATTCCTGTGAGGGCCGTTCTAGCTGATGATAATAACAATACTGTGCAATTCTGTTTTTGAGCTAGTTATCATACTGTGAAAATCTCCTACTGCTGCAACCCTAACTGTCAATGCAAGAACCTCAGATTTGACGTAGTCTCTGTTCTACAGCATGTGAACGCTATCCAGTTGCAACAAAATGCCTATATGCCTAATTCCTGCTACAGTCACACACTACTGATGCATTTGTCCGGAAGGCCAGCTCCATCAGCGTGCATGTGCTCTAAGTTAGAGTGCATCCACCAAATTCAATTCTTCTTCGTCTCTGCATTGTTAAAGTTGCTTGGTCTGGTTTCCAAATCATTTTGGGCTAAAAGCCACCATCTACATAATGTGTGAAACAAGGCAATGGATATACTCTCACTGTATGTCTCTGTACATGTGCAATTTTCCCTGTCCTAGGCTGCAGCAACATAAACATCTAAAACACTGTCTTAATGACAGCCTTCCGAGGACAACTGCAGTCTCAGCAGGGAGGCACACAGACGCAGCTGGAGAGCACAACCTCCCTCTTGTTTTGTCTAATCTGCATTTCTCATGGTGCCTGAGGGAAGTCGACGTCTCTTCCTGTTTCCTTTCAGTGGGGGACTAATCAAATGTCTGTGCACTTGGAACTACACCCATTTATTTTTGACTATGGAAGAGGAAATGTGTTTTTCTTCCTTCTGAACTTGAGAGTGTTTGAGAGAGTGAAACTCTGAAACTGCAATTACTCTGAGGGTGTGGGCATAATTGTCTACTCTTTCTGTACACATTGAACTGTTAAGCCAAGTTTATACTTCTGCATCACTGCACGTGTCTGCGTCTGTCGTTCGGAGACAGTTGCATGGCTGTTGTGTTTATACTTGTGTGAACGTTAACATTCTGATTAGGCAGCGCTCAAACAACAAAGTACAGAAAACACAGGAGAAGTCAGGAAACAAGCGGCAGAGATTTTCAACCAGGCTCAAAGCTGTTATTATTTTTCTCTGAGGAGTGGTACCGTGCCATGTTATTTAGAGTTGATTATTTTCAGGTGAGAAAGTGACAGTTTAGACTGAGAACAGGTGGTCAGTGTAGCCAGGTAATACCAATTTAGAAATGTGCTCTGATGTTTTCGGAGTACCCACTAGTGGACCAATTAGCTGGTGGCTACATCTGGGTCAGAGTTGGATCAACCAATCGGCATGAAGGACACGCAGCTCAGCACAATGCATAGTTGAGATTTAGGAGGTGTATGCAGGAGGTGTATGCATCAGCTCATCTGCAACCATCGACGACCTATGTTTACCCATAAACCCCCTCAGTGCGTAGGTACGCATCGACGCCTACGTGTAGCTGCGGGCGAGTATAAATGAAGCTTCAGTGTCTGTGTACATGCATAGCCTTGTTTGGCTTCACCTCTGCCCATGTCTCAGGTTGGGTACTCTGCGCCTCTACTGTACATACACTCAAGTCACAGTGATAAGATTCCGCTAACACGAGGAACGGATACATCCCGACCGTTTTAACACCGTAGTGTTGTTTAACGACACTCACCCAAATTCTGAAGGCATTTCCTGAACCCTCACAGACTCTTCTAACAATACAGAATAAAAAAATTATCCGGTCTCAAGTGCAGTTACACTTTTCAAAACTTGATGCAGACAACCCTCTGCAATATTTGTAATGTGAAATGAGAAGGTGGCCATGACAGCACACCTAACCTGAGCAAGCACAGCCACTGATAGGTTGAAAGCCAAAACCCCTAACACAATGTTAGCCTGTGCCGAAGAAGTTGAACCCATGGACAACGTGACTTTAAGTGAGGCATTGAGATCTTCAGGCAATTATTAGCTAGTCAGAGTCACATTAAAAAAAACGTTGCTGTTTAATGTCAGACCCTTCACAAGCTACGTCAACACACACACACACACACACACACTAACTGACCTGTGCTGAGTATTTAGCACGAAGGCGTCCAGCCTCGCAGCCTTTGTCACAGACCCTCAGTTGTCGGGCCTGCTCCAGCTCCCGCTTCAGACGCATCCGCGACTCATTGGCTTCCTTCATCTTCTTCTCACTCTCAGCTCGCAGACGCTCGATTTCCTTCCGCAGGTTTCGCTTTGCTTCAGTTGCCTCCCGCAGCTTCTCCTTCTTGGCCACCCGCAAGAACTCCAGCTCCTGGGAAGGTGAGTTTGTAGAAGTTAGCATTGAAGACAGGTACTGTCTATCTGGGGTTTATACTTGTGTAATTCATTTGAAAAGCAGTTTTTTTTCATAACCTGAATGTATAATTGAGGAAATTCAGAGTACTGATGCAACCATTTTGCATGTCGGTAGATAAATCTTTCCAAGAGAAGTAACTTGTTACAGTAGGCCACAGTGTCCATGTCAGTGCTTACACTGAGCCAAGGCAGGGGTTAGGGCAATGTGTGGGCTGACAGAAGTTAGGTTTCCTTCATTCTCATGGGAACCTAGCAGTTGAGACAAACATGTCTGTCACCAAGCTTGGTTGGTTCCTACAGAAAGAGTGAAACAATCCCCATTGCAGCCTTTACTCTGAAAAGGATGTACATAAGAACTCTTTCAGTACCACCAGGGTTAGTTCAGATAAACACAGCACTGTTTTAAAATAGGACGACTTTTCACTTAGCTTGTAGGTTGTTGGCTTTGTGTTGCCTCTACACAGCTTCTTTAAACGCTGATGGAAAGTGAAAGTGGAATGCTATGTGCTGAAATCACTTTTCTTTGCTCAGGATGTGTTTTGTGTTTGCTCTCTCACACTGACTCCTTCGTCTGCATTTTCTTGCTCTCAGTCCAAGACCAAAAATAAAACTGGAAGTCTGGCCTTTCCCTTTGCAGCAACATCCGCTGTCATTGCTATCACATGCCAACTCCTGCTAAGTTTTTGCAGATAGTGATAATGACTTCTAATCTGCTTGCATTTCGATGCCTAGGCTCGAGTAATTTCCTCAGTGTGCCAACTTTTAAAAGTTTCTGTCCGATTTCAAACACACACAAAGACACTGAAGCTTAAGAATTATATGAGTCATCATGGGGCACTATAGCTGGGGAATCCCGTTTTCTCAGCCAACGGTGATACAAACACAAATACTTGATCACCAGGGTTGTAGATGGAAATGCTGGAACCTATCTTCTGATATCAGGATGTCACTATGGTCAACACAGGAAACATATTTACTTTGTATGATTCATCTTGTGTATTGTTCAGTTATTTGCCAAACAGACAATCAAAGCTTCTATATCGGGTTACAGTGACACACTTGGCTGGTGATTGGTGGTTTTGAATGACATAGGTTAGTTTAGATAAAACAGCTCATGTGTGTGTTATGATAATTGGAAATACTTTCCAAATCCCATCTAATGTCTCTTTGGGAGAGTTGGTGTATCAGGCCAGGTCTCCAATTAATTAAGATGAGTCCAAAGTCTCAAGCTAGCCCAACTCCAAGTGATACCTACACAAGTCAAGATGCAACTCTTTCTGGTCCTTGAACAATGACCATGAAAATGGCACAGCAACAATTTTTCTTTTAAGTTTTCATTCATATTGGAGCTAGGCTAGCAGTTTGCCTCTGCATCCAGTCTTTGTGCCAAGCTAGACTGAACACACCTCAGACATACTGTAGCTCTGTACTTCGGGCACACATATGAAAGTGATATCAGTGTTCTCATTTCACACTGGGAACGATGATGTACATGTCATACTATTCTCACAATGATGTGAATGGAACAGTACCTGTTGAAGGCTGCGTTTGGCCTGAAGGGCTGATCCCAGCTTCTCCTCCTGCTTCACCCTCATCTTAACAATCTCATGCAGAAACCTCTCCTTCGACTCTTTGGAGTCAAGTCCGCTGTCAAGGGCCTGCCTCAGGCTTTCCAGCTCAGACTCCAGCCCCAACTCCGGAGGAGTCACGGGGGCTGTGATGGGTGTAGCTGCAGGGGCAGTGCCCTCTGCTGATGTGACGGGGCAGATGGGCCCCTGGGCGCATGGTGAGCTCAAGTCTTTGGCTGAGCTACTGGAAGTGAAAGATGGTGATGACAGGGAGGACAGGGATGAAGTGACTGTTGGGAGAGACCAGGGACAAAACAGAGTGTGAGGTTTGTGGAAAAGCTGAAATGCTGTGATGTCTTTCCAGTCGCCAAGACTCAGTTGATTTTTTTTCCTCTATAATACAATGGGTTCTTAGCTTTACTTTTTTCTTTTTTAATCATCTTAGGACTAAATTTAGCTGGCCGGTTTAGCATCATAATAAACAATTTAGACATATCTGTTTTCTAGTATTGACTTCTTTGCTTACATTCGTCACGGCTCTCCACTTCGATCTCCACCTCAGAGTCTTTGTCATCCTGAGGCAGTGGTGGCTTGCAGGCAGCGGAGGGCGGGGGGCAGGAGGCCTCTGGGGCTGGGGGCAGGAGCTCCCCTGTGGTTCTTCTCTTGCGAGACCTGGAGTTGGCGCCCTCGGCTGGGGGTTCACCTCCACTTGGATGGGAGGTGCTGGGTGCTGACGGGGACATGGGGCCCACCTTTCCCAGGGGCAGTGGTGTGAGGGCGACATTGGGGGCCACGGCATTCTCCAGGCTCTTGAAATTGTAGAAGCTAAGACGACAGCAGATAACTTATTTGCACATCTCAAGCTGGTTGTGTGCAATAACTTAAAGCTGCTTCTTTAACAAGAGCTGAATTCTGCATGCAAGTAAACACAGCCTCTGAACAGCCTGTGCCAAACCAGGGTGGAGAAACATTCAAATAAAGTGCCTGCAGCGCTTTCCTCCCACTTTAAAAGAAACTGGGCCAGATTGACTGTGATATGGTGCAGCCTACACTGGCAGCACCATGCCAAGTGGGTGCCTACAGTATCTGTGCTAAATGAGTGTGAATGCTGGAGTGTGGGAGGCTGTGGTACAGTCAGACTTGACCCCTGTGACACCTGCCCACCCAGACAAGTGAGAGAGCATGCAGGGAGCTCATCAGATCGAGCCGAACAAAATGGCAGTCATCTCCTGCCCAAAAAGCTTTTCTTCGAGTCTAGAAATTTCACTGTTAATTATTCCTGTTGAAGTCAGTTGAGTACTGTTTGATGAGAGTTTCTTTCATTTTGGATCTGACAGTCATATATTGTGCCGGGCTCACCTATCTCTCAGCAGGGCCAGGGGGTGACTAGATGGCTCCTTATCCCCAGCAGAGATGTGGGGGGACCAGGGCCTGAAAGCTGAGGGCCTCTGCCTGGGTTGAATGCAGTTAAGCCCCTGGAAAAAAAGTGATAATACTTTAAATCATAAGCCAGAGAGCTCAATAACAGTTGCTCCTTTAAGAAAAAAAACAATACAATCAGGTCTGAATCTCATTTGAAATGTTCAGTTGCTAATGGAGACATAAAACCATACTTTGAGAAACATCAACATGCTGATTTTTCATTTATCAAAAGAAGCTAGAGTTAAATGTCATCTAAACACACACCTGTTTGAGAAAGTTTCCTTAATTAGATGACAGTCTAAAATTGGAAAATGTTTTGATTTACATCAGTGAACTACCTGATCAGAGAACAAGTAAACAAGACTATGAACCTACTGAGATATTCACTGCCAGCTTTAAGTTCCTGACAGTTTTGTTGGACGTTTTGGAGGGAAAAGCGCTGAGATCTGATACTCGGCCCTGGTGTTAGCCTAACCCTTAACCCTTAACCTGTTATGACAGTGGTCTGAAGTTTTTTTAATGTAATGTTTACCTGTTTGCCCTCAACCTGCCTAATGTCACCTGGACATTTGAGGCTAGAAATCCTATTCTGTCATCAGTTTCCTCTGTGACTGTCAAATTTCAGCATAAAGTTTCACAAAGAAAGTCTGTTTGATTCTGGGTGACTTGGACGATACCTTAGAATTATTATTTCCCCAGCAGGAAAACATGGGTATGGTAGAGTTCACAAAAAATGATGGGGTATCCACTAGGGATGGGCATTTCAAGCTAAAATGCTATTCAATATTCACTGGGAACTATTCAACAATTATTTAAAGCCCCCCACCCAAAAAAAAGGGCCCGGTATTGGTATATTTATCCTGCATTGCTTTAGTCTGAAGAACAGCACCCTATATTTTCCAACTGTTTGCTCTGCACATCTGCTTGCTGCATCTAAGTTTAAGTGCTACTCACATCTGAAAACTTCTGTACAATATTGCACGACGCCTCATCTCATGGACTACGCATCATCATCACCTGTATCCCCTTCCTGATCTCAGAAACACCAACCTTATTAGAGGAAGACAGGGAGTGCAGCCAGTCGTGCTGCTTCTCTTTGTCAGCCAGGGGGGACTGTGAAGGGAAGTCTTCATGTTTGGACTTTTTGACTGGGATGGGATCAGACGTCTGGAAGGAAAGAAGGACAAGTGGTTTAAGTTTTAAAAATGCAGGGCAGATTACACAGGTGGCTGTATTTTACATAGGGAACATTCTGAAATCTTTTTCCCCCTTGCAGTGACATTATGTGGTCACATAAACACATCAGCACGACGTACAGTTTACAAACTGAAAAAAAAAATCTGTACACTTCAATACCAAGACTGAATGTGTCAACACTTTTCCACATGATCTGGATGCACCACCAGTTGCCCACTTAGCCACTGGGAAAGGGCCGTCCCACTAAAATGTAAGTAATCTGAAAATGAAAATTCCAATAGTGTCAGACAGAAAGATAACTCCGGGTGTGTGTGTGTGTGTGTGTTGTGGTTATATCTGTCTGTCAGACACAGATACACCCATACAAACAGACAAGTGGGGGTTTGTTCCCCTTTTGCCTGTCAGACTGGCTTTGTGGCCATGACCTCAGCCTCTCCAAGCTGTGGCTGTCACTAGCTGCCACACAAACACACACACAAACTAACAGCAACCGCAGTGCATTTCAGAGTGAACAGATTGACTGCTGTTCTCTAAAAGAAAAAAAAAATCTAAACCTAACACTTTTTTTGACTCTTTTAATGCTACCTGGAATTAAATGTAAGCAGGTGACCAAAAGATTACACTGCTGATGAAAGACAGCATGGAATGAACTGTCCAACTCGTAGAAACAGAGACTGTACAGCTGTTGTATGTGGGATGGAATGTAAGCATTTTGTAACTGTGGAGAAACAAACCAAAGTACTTTCTTTCCAAGGAATTAAATTCAGTCAACTTTTAGACTTTATGATCTTATAGATATTAAAAGGACCACACACAGTAAAACTGTGTGACATATATAATGTTTGCATGAAATGGCCATGAAAAAACACATCCCTTAACTTTTTAAATTGCTTGTAGTGATTTAGTACTACTCAGCAGCAATAAGACATAAGGAAAACATGAACTTCTTCATACAGCATTAGTGTTTAGTCTGGGAATTATATACTGTATTATGTAGTCACCCTTGCTCACTTTGTGGTGCTCTCTCATTTTCTGCCTCTGAGAATGTCCCTCGGGAATCTACAGCATCCTGCCAGCAAACTGCTGCAGTGTGCCCGCTCTCTCTCTCACACACACACACAAACACACACCACACCACCCCCTGCATCGTGTCAACAGGTGGTCATTTGTAATGGAGTTAGATACACTCTCCCTGCCTCTCTTGACCATGTTGGCAGTGTGCGACGCTATGCCACATGCTTGTGTAATCAGAGCTGCGCTCACAGGAAAGTAGTGCGGCTAGACGAACACATACCGCTGAGGCCTGCTGATGTGACAGCTGTCCTTGATCCACCAGGCCCCGATGTACAGCTCCATGACTCTCAATGACTTTTAACTTCTAGCTCTTCCATGACCAAGAATGATCTGGTCTGTTCGTACATCTCTCATGATTCAAGAGAAAACTATTTCTTCAGGTTTATATCTCAGAGGAGCACAATTTGGGTCCCTTTCTATGAGTCTTCTGATGTGGAAAAGGTAGAAAATTCATCTTTTTATGGAGAGTTGATGTGCAGAAAAAGAACAGTGGTGTATACCGGGGAGGTGACACGAAAATGTGTCAAGAGACCACGGGTGATTTGTTCAATATAGATGAAAAGTCAGGGGATTCATCAGTCACCAGGATTCATTCACTGGGTCTCATGATACCAAATTTCAGGGCAATCCATCCAACAGTTATTGGAATATTTCAGAACAGACCAAAGCAGACCAGCAAACTGACTGACTGATTGAATTACTGGCTCAAGAAATCACAACCACAGACACGACTAAAATAGTCACTGTGTTTATCATGGCCTGCAAAGTGTGCAGGACTCAAAGCACTGTGGCTAGAATACATATAAAACTGGCCAGAAGAAAAAGAATATAAGAAATGTTTCTAGGACCATGCATTTGTTTCTCACAAAAAGAAGAATTTTAATTGTTGTGCCTAGACAGCAATACAATAGTACACAGTAGCATACAGGAGTCCTGATTGTGGTTGGTAGGTCTGTGGGTTATCTAAAGTTGAAGAGATATGTCCAATATAACAGTGAGGGCTAGAGGCAACAGGCTAGCTGCATGCAGTTCAGCCCAGAGAGTGGCTGGTACACATACACATGCACACAGTGCTGCCTCTGGGCAAGTCTCTGAGCCACGTGCCAGATCTCATCTCATGGATTACCGGTTGCCAATGCCATGGCTCTCCATCGGGACAAGATCTGACCTCAGGAATCTTGGATGCAGAAGACCATCAGGAGGTCAGCAATTGCAGCTGAGCTTGTGGGGCTAAGTTTTGCGAGCTTCAGTCAGGGTGGGATTTCCTATTATAAAAAGGGGCTCAGTGGTGTTTGTAGCACTGGTTTTCAGGGGACCCTGGGCTGGCTTCTGGAGCCACTGTTAAAAAGTGAGGAGTGCTGTAATTTCACTAAAATTTCTCTCAGACTGCATGACATCTTCCTATATGGGTCCTTGGGATTATCCATCTATCCATCCATTTTCTGCTGTTCAACTAGGGCCAGGTCACATTGGCAAGAGGCTAACCAGGTGAGAACAACAGCAATGTTTTCCTGCTCACCCTGGCAGATCCCATGGTGTTCCCAGGCCTGATGAGATATAAAATCTCTCCAGCATGTTCTGGGTCTGCCCCAGGGTCTCCTACCTCTTGGACATGCCTGAAGAATTTCCAGCAGGAACCCTGATCAGATGCCTGTACCAGCTCAAATGACTCCTTTTGACTCCAATCTCCTTACCCTATCTCCAAGTGTAAGCCCAGCCACCCTAAAGAGGAAAGCCATTTCGGCCGCTTGTATCTATGCTCACGTTTCTTTGGTGACTACCCAAAGCTCAGGACCGTGGGTGAGGGTTGGAAAGAAGATTTACTGATAAATTAAAAGCTTTGCCTTCTGGCTCAGCGCCCTTTTCACCACAATGATCCAGTATGAGGGGTTAGACATGAAAACCTGGGAATGCCACCTCTATCAGCACATTCATACAAACACACTCCTGGTGAGCCTCTGATTTACAGCAGGCCTGCTGCAAATCATAGAGCTGGGCTGCTTTCAATGACATGCAAAGATGGATGTGTGTGGGTGTCTGTACTTGTCTTTCTACTGTTGTGTGGACAAATTTCTGCTCAAACCCACCACTGAGAAAACTTGTCAGCATTGTGATCTTAACACTTTGAAAGGGCTGTTTCAGGGTTCAGATTTTGTTTTAGGGCAAATGTTAGAATTAGGCTTAGGTCAGAGGGAGGGTTGGGGTTGGGCATTTAGTTGTCATGGTTAAGGTTAAGGTAAGGGGCTAGGGAATGCATCATACCAATGAGTGTCCTCATAGCTGTAGAAATGTGTGAGGGTGCATACATCCATCCCCTTTATGATCTGGTGTGGATTACACAGCATAGACAGGATGTCACACTTCTAAGATAAGATTTTCCGATTAGCTGTGGTGTGTGTTAGATGTGCAGTCTACGAACTCAGCCCCTGACCTCACACTAAGAACATGACACCTTGTAATAATCACTAGCATCACACTGGTTTCTTGGGGTGACAGTGGCCTTATTTTTCTAAATTAGAAATCAGATATCATTTTGGTATTACCATCCATGCTGTCAGGGAAGAGTTACAGCGCTCTGTGTTCTATGAACTAGTTTGTTTTTTTGGAAGAATATTAGCTAAGTAATTGGACCTTAAGTTATGGGGCAGCACATGGAGAAATAGTGCGAGTGGCAGGCTCCTCTCAGCTGCTGTCAGGGGGGCCCCATGCCCTGCACATGTGTGAACACGTGGGTATATATACTGCTCTGTGTGTAAGTGTGCATATGTCGCAAAGACAGGATGGGTGGGGTGATAACAGCCTTCTTGATGATTGTCTGTGCTTTTTGAAACCCTCGGTTTCAGAGCACTTCCTCTGTCTGCAAGCCACTGGTGTTTGTCACAGACTAAATACTATGACTAGTACCTTTGAACATTATTGTATTAAAGATTTCTTAGTGGCCATACCCTGGCAAAAACATGATGGCTACTGTGTCAGTGCTCTAACACCTCAGCAATGAACATTTATAGAAGGAAAAAGGCTTGATTTATTATTTATTATAATTATTATTAAGTCCTCCCAGGTCTTTCATGTTAAGGACATTCAAATGAATGTGCACTAGACCATGAAGCCCCAGATCAAGAGACAGTTTAACAAGAACTATCCGAGGAGTAATCTGCAGCAGCACATAACTGATACAGTAGACAGAGAACTAGAGAAGTGAAACTTCTGAGCAAAATTGACTTTGTTACGATTCCACTGTGTTGACATTTAGGCAGTTAAATAATATGTTTCTTCATCAGTTCCTCAGTTGCGGACATTCTGAAATGTTTTTTAACCCCCAGTGCTCCCACTTTGGGGAAGCACAGCTATAAAAAAAAACAAAAAAAAAAACAAGGTTTGCACAAAATGTTTCAAATCAGCTACGCTTTTTGGAGACACTGGGTTCTTTATTCTGCTGTACCCTTTTTTTTTTTTTTTTTTTTTTTTAAAATTAAAAGAATGTTGTTTCTGTTAGCTAGCAAACTGAGGAAACAGAAGTCACAGTGGGCTACAAATGAGTCAGTCAGGAGAGAGTTCATGGTGAGGTTTTGTACAGCTGAATAAACCTCATCCAGAGAGTTGCTGGAAGAAGGAAATGGCAGACTGGAGAACAGCTCATCAAAAAGAAGAAATATCTATAGCATGCTCTTCATAAAGACAGGCGTGCAATTATGTAAATTAACACTGGATCCCCCCAAAAGGGCATCTGACCAACATATCTAATTCACTTCTTAATCAGAGATACAATCTGTCAAAAAAGCAACAAATCTGGAGGAAGCTGAGGTGAAACTCGCCTTGGGAAAGTTTTCACCAAAGAACAATGCGGAGAACTTAGAGAGACAGAGGCTGAAACTTGTGGTGTCAAAGACAAAGGC